GAGAGAGAGAGAGAGAGAGAGAGAGAGAGAGAGAGAGAGAGGGAGGGAGAGAGAGAGAGGTGTTCTGGAGAACAACTAGTAGTCTGTCTCACTTTTCAAGGAAATAAAAGCAGAGAAGGAAATAAAAGCAGAGAAGGAAGGGCCAAGGATGGTCTTAGTGGCAAATACCCTTACCTGGTTCTGCCCTTTTTTGCATCTGGTGTCGGTAGTTAGGCAGGGCTCATTCACTTCAGGTATACTTAAAGAAGAACCTAAAGAGCTTTCAGAACTCAAAGCCTTGTGAAGGTAATGAAAGTACTGGCTAACACTGAGGACAGTCTAGAGTGAGCACTTTACAGTACATATTATACTTGCATTAAGCACATTACACAAGACCACACAGTGACATCTGACCCCACATTCCTAGACCTCCTCACCAAGGGGCTGGTCAATTTCTGTACTTAAAGTGGGTTAGAGTACATACGTAGGTTGACCTCAGCTCACATAAACTGGTCAGACAAGAATGACCATTCCTGTCCTAACGCTCTCCTTATTGGTGGCACAGAGCTTTGTCTTTGTTAACCTTAACATAAGCTGTATATCACTGAACACTTCCTTCTCTAACTGAACTCTTTGGTTTCCTTTTTTTTTTTTCTTCATACTGGGGATAGAAACCAGAGGTGCTCTACCACTGAGCTACATCCTCAGCCCTTTCTATTTTTTTTTTTTTTTAATTTTGAGACAGGACTTTCTAAGTTGCTGAAATTGGCTTCGAACTTCTACCCTTCCTGCCTTAGCTTCTGAAGTGATTGGGATTCTATGCACCACCATGGTCCTCCTTTGTCATATGTCTGTGGGAAATAGTGGTCTTTGGCACCAAGACAATAGAAAGAGACTTAAAAATTTTTTTAATTGTCCATGGATCTTTTATTTATATGCAGTGCTGAGGTTTGAACCCGGGGCCTCATCCATGCCAGGCAAGTGCTCTACCACTGGGCCACTACTCCAGCCCTGGCAAGGGAGTTCTAAAAATTCTTTTCCAGGAAATACTTTTCCTATTTGTAATCCAAACTGAACCTTGCACACTCATTTTTGTAAGATTGTAATGTTATCTAATAACATGCATCCTCTCAAGCAATGTAAGTTTAATACATAACCTCTGTGCTCAAAGCAGGATGAGGTACAGAACTAAGATAGGCTGGAACAAGCCGAGTAATGTGGATTAACAGACCAAGCATACAAATCTTCTGCAATTTGTGTCGAAAGTCCAGACTATAAACAAAAAATAGAGTTTCCTTGTTCAGTGTGCCAGACTTTCCAACCTACACATCAGAATGAACTTCGTCTCCCAGAAAAGGCCATGAAAGACGTAGGGGTAGCACTGTACACGACCTAAGGCACACAATTCATAAAGGGTTTCTATGAACTCCTGATGTTTTATGTTGGTCAATTTGCATGGTGGAATATGACCTGAAAGACAGCATCTAAACTGGTAATATAGGAATAAAGCATAAACACTAAAAAAGCCTGCTGATCTCTATGTATTAGCAGGACAAGATTTCTTCCTTCCTAGTATAGGAGGTACTTTCCAGGGCCCTATTATGCAAGGAATGGAGGAATTTCCTGAAGAGGCCAGATAAGGTAAAAAACCAGTAAAAGCACCCATCTGTAGATGATGACGGAAGCTCATGATTACTCAGATTTACAATTAGGAACACTGCATGCCCAAAGATAACAATAGTTAGATATTTACTTCACCAAAATAAAAAATGACCTACTATTGCCTAACTGACTCCGGTGTCAAAAATAAGTCCTGAATATTTAGTAGAAACTCAAACTTCAAAATATAAGCCAAGTTCCATTTCCTGGAAGAGTAAGGAAAAAGGAAAAATATATGATTCATTTATATTTGTTTACTACTTAAAAGTTCTCATTTATACTTTAGGAAAGATAAAATTTGTAGATATAATGGGATATATTCACAATCTATCTATAGAATTCTAATTTTTTTCTGAAGCACAACTGTGTTACTTACCTTTTTGTCCTTGTGACCAAAATACACAACAAGAACAACTTAGAGGAGGAAGTTTATTTTGGCTCCTGTTTCAGAGGTGCATGGACAGCTTACTCTATTGCTCCCAGCTTGAGGTGAGACAGAACATCATGGCAGAAGGGTGTGGCTGAGAAAAGTTAAGCAGCTCAGCGCAGCTGGGAAGTAGAGTGCAACAGGGACAGATACCTTGGGGTATCCCCAAGATCATACCCCAGTGACATTAGTTCTTCCAGCCATGCTCTACCTGCTCTCCCAGTAGTCCATTTAGATTATTAGTTCATCAGACAAATTGATCCATCAGTGAGGTCAGAGCCCTCACAATCCAATCTTCTCAACTCTAAACACTGCAGCATTGCCTAACACGTGCTTGGGGGATGTTCCAGATCCAAACCATAACAACCCTGGTACAATCATAGTCACTTCAAAATGGATAACTTGTATGTATTTTTGTGTATACAGAAAAAACAATACATATACACACACACACACCCCTTTTTAAAAATCGGGTTTCTTTCAATTAACATATTTATTTCTTTACCCAGGTGCTTTTTTTGAAAAGACGACTCTGAAAAACTTCCAGCAGTTGGATTTGGCAGGAAATTGTGTGAGCAGTGATGGATGGCTTGCCTTCATGAGTGTATTTGAGAATCTTAAGCAATTAGTATTTTTTGACTTCAGTACTGAAGGATTTTTACCAGATGCAGCATTAGTCAGAAAACTTAGCCATGTGTTATCCAAGTTAACTTTTTTGCAAGAAGCTAGGCTTATTGGATGGCAATTTGATGATGATGATGTCAGTGTTATCAAAGGTGCTTTTAAACTAGTAATTGTTTAAATAAAGGGTACCCTAAGCCAATGAGCATTTTAGATCCTTTATTTTCAGCTTGATGATTTAAAAATCTTGCAAAAGGAGCCAAAGACGATGAGAAAGTGGAAGGGAGTTTAATTTGTTACATATAAGTTTTGTGTCTCATCCCTCCAACTGGTATTATCAGCAACTTGAAGAAGTCTTGTTCATATTTGGGTTACTCTCAGCCCCAGGAATACTGGGTCACAAAAATTGATATATTGTGTGCATATTTATTTAGTACTGTGCTGGGTATGTAAGAAACTCAACAAATTTTGCCAAATATGATATCTAAATTACCGATAAATATCTATTAAATAAACAAACCAAAATTATCTAAAACTTCATATATGCTCTTTAATTCAAACAATATAAATCAAACAACGTGGAATGTAACTTTCTCTATTAGAAGCAGATCAGACTCCCAAAAAAGAGCAGCGTTCTTGAGTCAAACAAAAACTGGTAATTTACAAGCAGCTAAATCAGAGGCTTGAAAATTAGGTCTTCTCCCAGTAGCTGGAATATTCATTGTATGTAATTTCAACTGTGATTTCAAAAACTAAGGAAAAATGTACCTCATTCTTTTGTACCCCACAGAAGCAAAGAATACCCTGCCCTAATTTTTTTCTACCTCCCCCACAAAGAAAAAAAGTCTAAGAAAAATCTTTCTAATCTACAGATTTAAGTCGAGGCAAATCTGAAAAACAAAATGTAAGTGGTATTAGCCTGTGATTCACCTTTCGTTTTCATGGCACCTCAAATTAATGGCTTGGGTGTTGGTGTAGGCAACACTTGGCCTGTGTGTTGAGGTAGTCACTAGACAGAAATTCTGGGCACAAGATTTGTTTAGTAATTGGGCACATATTCTGCAGATTTAGTCATAAAGTTTTTGAGTTAATTTACAAATAAACAAATTCACTGCTCTCCCTAATTTTACAAATAAGAAAGCTCAGAGAAGTTAAATGACTAACTTGACCCTAGTTACAAACTACTGACATAGCATCTTGCCTCCTGGCTAGTGTTTTCCATAATGCATTGATTTTTAAAAGCAGGGTTAATCACACTTCATTGAGCTTGATTACAAACCATGGGCCAAGCACTGAAATGATTTTTCCTTCTTTGTCTAGCTTCCAGAGGTTCTGTGATAGGATTTACCAGTAAGGCTGCTCTATACAGGCCTGTGCTGGTCATGTTTCTTGGAGCTTGGCAACTAAGACGTCACTTCTAATAACACACAGGCCAACGTCACCTGCAACAGTTGGCATTACTGATTTTCAGCAAGAAGGGCCAGTTCCTTCACAACCCACAGGTCACTGAGTGTCCTTTCTCAAGTAGTACAGGTATTAAAGCACCTTTGGTGGGACAGCTGTGCAGGTGCTGCCTCTGAACGAGTGTTGAGGAAGCACGCCTAGAATCTCACACAGAGCTGTGGTTGGTAACTGAACACTTTTTAAAATCCCATGGGGATGGAGAAGACATGTATGGGGTAGCAGCACATACTTTTTGTTTTGCAGTGTTAGGGATCGAACCCAGGGCCTGTGCATGCTAGGCAAGCACTCAACTACCGAGCTATATCCCCAAGTCCCAGCAAATACCTCTTAATTATCACTCAGCACATGGCAGTACTTCAGATTTCATGTTATGACCCAAATTCACAGTTAGATGAGGTCAGTGGAGGAAAAATCACCCAGTAACAGGAGACCAATAGGCATAGAAATAGTTGGAGAACAACCGAAAAAGGACAAGAAAAGGTTGCCTCATGACATTTTACAAGCTTTCATTTACTCCAGTAGTCAAGGTAGTCTGGGATCTTTTCTTCATTGGGTCAAGTGGCCAAACAGGATTGCAGATGTCAAAGACAATGAATCACTCTTCACTAAGCAAAAGGTATTTAAAACATGCTGACTTTTTACCACAAATGACTACAATTCTGCTTGACAGAGATGGTTTCTTGAATGTCTGCGATTCCACTGTAAAGAAAGGATTTTGAAGTGTTGTCCTTACTTAAAAGAGAATAAGTTGACTGAAGAAATTGTTGCAAATTCTACTAAAACAAAATTCTTGTCTATATAGCTGGTTGATACCTGGGAAAGTTATAAATCTCCAGCTCTGGATTCCAGAAAACTTTAATCTATTCTCAAAATGCTTTTTCAAAACCACAATTATAGAACACATAATAAAACAAAACAAAAAGAAGCCTTGCAGGTAATGTGTGAGTGCTACTTGTTATACTTTTTGAAAGAAATACTGGCCACATTGGAAAGTCTTTAAAATCTGCATTTGGAAAATGACCAAAAAAAATTATATAATCTACATAATTCTCACACTGTGCATCTCAGTTAACAATTCACCATCTTTATCTTTAACAAAGAAAAACAAAAAAAAAGCCAGAAACTGCTCACTGAAGACTTGACAATACTGTATTCTATAATCGAAGTTCCATTATACTTCTACAAAATGATATAATATATAGTCAAATTCCTTAGGCAAATTTGAAAAGATATCAAATTCCATATGATGTCTGGAATTCCAAATATTTGGAGTAACATGTTTGACATATTTTGTTAATAAAATGAGAAATTTAAAGTTATCCAATTAAAATTTGTTAAAGAGATATATATTATTATGTCAGTATTTGATTAAATATAATATAGAAAACTGTGATTCTTTCACTGCATTTCACCAAAGGTTTGATATTCACTGAACCAATTACAACACTGGACACTTATGGATTATTTACATATGTGTTAAAACTTATAAATGATGAGAAAAACTTTAACAAAACTCTGGATTCAAAAATTTAAATTGTGCTACATAGTAGAACGTATCCCAAAATTTTTGATAAAAATTTTTGCTTACTTTATAAGATATAATTCAGGAAGACCTCAAAGAAAAAATGTAGCAAGTAAGTTTGGAAAAACTATAAAAGAGCCTTTTACTTTTCAAATGGCATTTTTGTCCTTTCCTAAAATGTATATTATTTAAGAAGCATGTTTATAAATTTCACTAAAGAAAATATTGTCTTCTCAGTAAAGTGATAGATCCACTCCATGAAGTGGCTCTCTTATAAAGGTAGGGTCGTATCACACTGTAGTCAGCTACAAAACCAAGGATAGCAAAATTCAAATTTAGAGAAACACGCTTTCTAAAGGAAGTCTATTTAAAGACTATAACATTTACAAGGATCTCACTGCCACAAAACATTTTACAAAAATATAGTTTATAGGTTTCATGAAATGTGAACAAGCCTACTATTCTCTAACATTTTGTGTAAATGATTGAACAGTCAATGCAAAGTTGAATTACTAAATATATTGGAAGCCTAGGAGTCAATATTCTTCATAAAAATAAGTTAGAGTACATCATGGTCTTGGTTGTCCAATTCTATTGTTATTTCCATATCTACTTGGTATATTTGTAAAACCAGTCCTGAATCCTTGGGTGGCTCCCATTCCTGGAGCTCCAAGTCCTTGATTAAGCATAGTGCTATAGGGTGTGTGTCCATGATTAAGACCCAAACCATAGGGCCTTGTTTGTGTGTTTAGAAGAATAACAGGGCTCACATTTTTTCCAGGGGTATTAAACGAAAATTCTGGAGGTGGACTACTATGTTTAGCTGGAGTTGATGTGACAGGGTTCGAATCATCAGTACTCTTTAAAAGAGGCATTGGAATTATGTGATGGTCTGAAAAGTTTAGGACATTGGCTGCAACAGGCCCAGACAGTAAGGCAGGCCTGATCCAATCATCCTTGAAAATTTGAACAGTCAGAGTAGATACAAGAGTATACAGCCTGTTGGTGACATGAGCAAGAACCATTTGTTCATTTGCATCTCGTCGAATTCTTACATGCACTGATCCAGCCTAAAAGGGGCAAAATCATAAGAGAACACTTAGAATTATATTACTGAAAATTCCATTAGAAATAAACAATTTACTTATGATTTGGTCAGTTCTTGGAAAATTCTTTAAAATAAGAGAAAGCATAATGTCTTGCTATTTCTGGAAGACTACTTACTGATAATTATTAATGTAAAAGTTGAAGAAATAATTTCTGACTATTTAAAATATAAAAAATTCAGTTAAGACAAAGATAGGTATAAGTTAAAACACATGGCAGAAAAAAATAAAGTATATGAAAACATGGTGGATGGGAACAACAGGTAAGTATTAATTCCAACTGGAGAAGACTTCGAAAGAAGACTGCATTTGACCTAGGACTGATGATTAAATGGAATTTCAAAAAGTGGAGAAAGGAATTTGGTGCTGAGGGAAGAGCAATTAAAATACATGGCATACCTATTAAGAATAAGCAATATTGTAATTTATACTAATATATAAAGAAGTACAAACATTCTGAGGGGCAGAAGAAGGAACTATAAGAAGAAAGAGAAGGGGCTGGGGCTGCAGCTCAGTGGCAGAGCACTTGCCTAGCATGTGAGGCAATGGGTTCAATCTTTAGCATCACATAAAAATAAACAAATAAGATAAAGGCATTCTGTCCATCTACAAATATAAAACATTTTTTAAAAAGAAAAGAAGAAAAGAGAAGCAGGGGGGAAGATATGTAGGCAATACATTAAAAAGTTAGGCTAATACATGGCTCTAAAAATGATAAAGAAGTTCTGATTTAATAGCATTCAAATAAAAGTGAAATAATCTGAGTTTGGAAAAAATGCAGGTATGGACAACTGGTAACCAGGTAGGAAATGAGTGAAACAGTCTAGGTTTGAAATGAGGAGAGCTGAGCTACAACAAAAATAGTGGGATCAGAGAGGAACAGATAGATTAGTCACACTCCAGAGGTAGAAGTGAGAAGACCTGATACCACCTGGTACTAATAGATGAAGGAGATGGACTCATCTGAGATGATCTCAAGGTTTCTATCCTAGATACTAGAAGGATAGAGAGCCATAGGCATTACATTTATTAACATGAAAAGGTGTTTATCACGTATTATATTTTTCAAGTAAATAATAAAATATAGGTATAACAATGATCCTATTTTGGTTAAAACACATGACAAACAGAAAAATATCAAGAAAAGCAATTATCTCTGGCAAAATTATTAAGGATTTCTATTCTTTGTGACTTACAAGTTACAAGTTTTTAGTTTTCTAATAGCTATTATTTGCCAAATAAAAATATGTAATGAATAAAATTAAATAAAATGTCCAGCAAACATGCTTTGTTGATTTGTAGATAAAGTCAGCTTTAAAGTAATTTTTAAAGTTATTACAAAACATAACCTGTACATAATTAGCATCTAATTACAATGTGTGTGAATATATGACTTGAAACATTAATTATAGAATACTAATACAAAAGCTATTGTCAATCATAACATAAAAAAACCTTATATTCCTTTAATATGACTTGTAGTTAATTACTTTTAAGTAAGACAGGCCATGTATATAAATCAAGTCATCTTTGGGCTGGGGTTGTGGCTCAGCAGTAGAGCACTCACCTCACATGTGCGAGACCCTGAGTTCAATCCTCAATACCACATAAAATAAATAAGTGAAATAAAGATATTGTGTCCAACTACAACTAAAAAATAAATATTTAAAAAATAAATCAAGTCATCTTTAATTCTCTCTTTTCTTTGACATTATCATTTTGTGGTTTGACATGGAATGCAAAGTAATCAAAACAAATGAAATATTCCAGAATATGAGCTTGAACAGTTTCCTACGAGTTTGTTACATGTGTTAATCTAAGGTTTTTGTTACATACATTTTAGGCATCTTAAAAGCCCGTTAATTTCCTGAGTCTTACTGAGGGACTATGTAGGTAGGTATGGTTTCTAGATAATAAAATTCTGAATAGTTTAGATGACTATATTCTTTGTGTTCATAAGCCATCCAGCTTAAGAAACATTTGTCTACTTATTTATTAATATGGTCAGTATAATTAAAAGAATGATTAAAAAATGAGCTGCAGAAGTGGAGGAATATAAGTTGGTAGAAGGCATTTTGCACCAAAACACAAAAAATGTGATTATTTTCTTACAAAAATCACTTCTAAAAATTAATCTTAAGGAATAATAACAGATATGTGTAAAGATCATTCCACCAAATGTTCATCCCATCCTATTTAGGAAAAAATAGAAAACCATCTAAATGTCCATTGGGGATTGATATAATAAAATATGGCATATGTATATAATGTAAAATTACAACTACTAAAAATTATGTTGGGATTCTTGGAAGATGGCAGTGGTTTTTGAAATCCCCAAATATCCTTGCAAAAATAGAAAAGCTAAGACAACAAAACTGAAAATCTATGAACAACATTGGCCAAAACAACTTAAGGGCTGGGAGCTAGGGTTGTAGCTTAGTGGTTGAGTGCTTGCCTTGCATGTATGAGGCACTGGGTTTGATCCTCGGTGCCACTAAATAAATAAATAAATAAATAAATAAATAAATAAATAAATAAATAAATAAGATATTGTGTCCATCACAAGTAAAAAAAAAATGTTTAAAAAAATAAACAAAAATTTAAGGGCTGTGGTTGGCTTGGCAGTAAAAGCATTGCCTAGCATGTGTGAGGCACTGAGTCTGATCCTCTGCACCATAAAAAACAAACAAACAAACAAATAAATAAACAAATGTGTTTGTGTCCATTTACAACTAAAAAGAAAACAAAAGCAAAACCAAAAAAACTGCCAAACTTAATAACATTGGTACCCCTATGAAGTTACAAATATAATCGGTAAAACCTGCAAGGCATCAGAATCTGCAGGAGGAACAAAAGGAAGTAACAGGACACCTGACTGACCTAAAAACCCAGAAGCAGCTAAATGGCACTTAACAGAAATCTAGGACAGTCAATCTGAGAAAGGTAGCTGAAACCAGGAGGGGCTTCCCACCTCTCAATCCTGGGTGAGTTCACTGGCTCTGCCATAAGTCTGAAGAGCTGTAGGAGCCTGAGCCCGGTGAGCTCTCAAGTAGCCAGGCAAAGCTCCCTTCTAGGACAAAGCCCAACAATAAGTAGAAACAACTGGGAAGAGAATCCAATTGAGTAGCCCAGCAGAGACAAAGGATAAAGGAGATTCAGATGTAGAATAGTTAGGAGGAAAAACTCAACAAAACAAAAACGTTCACTTTATAAAATCATCAAAAAAGGGAGCTCAAACTCATGATTTTATATGAACTATTTTAAACCAGTCCTAATTATAAAACACAGGAAAGCTAATTTTTCATAAAGATGGACAACAGAAAAGAATCAAGGTTAAAAATCACATAAAATTACTATAAGAAAAAAAATGTAAAAGAGATTGTAAAAGATGATCAGAAAGACATAAGTATGAGGGCTAGGGTTGCGACTCAGTGGTAGAGTGCTTGCCTAGTATGTGTGAGGAGGCACTGGATTCAATCCTCAGCACAACATGAAAAATAAATAAAATGAAGTGTGTATATATATATATATATATATACACACACACACACACACACACACACACACACACATATATATATAAAATACATAACTATGAATGAGGTAAAAATTATTACCTGCTTTTTCAAAATAAGTCAAAAGGCATGAAACAAGAACATGAATCAGAATTACAAAAATGTGGAAAGAGATGACAACTAAAATACAAGGAAAAACAAAATCATTCCAGAAATGAAGATTAGTACTAGAAGAAATGAAAAAACAAGTAAGTATACCTTAAGAAAAAAAAGTCAAAAAGAAGAAAAATTTTTTAAATTGAAAAAAAATTAAAAGATGAAAAGGATTTTGGAGAAAATAACAAATATGAAAGAAAAGCAAAGCCCCAACATGCATAGAACAGGAATTCTGGAAGAAGGAAACCAAAGCAAGAAAACAGAATACATATTAAGAACTATACTTAAAGAAAATATTGTTTAGGGCTGGGGATGTGGCTCAAGCGGTAGCACGCTCGCCTAGCATGCGTGCAGCCCGGGTTCGAGCCTCAGCAGCACCACATACCAATAAAAAAAAGATGTTGTGTCCGCTGAGAACTAAGAAAATAAATAAATGTTAAAATTCTCTCTCTCTCTCTGTCCCCCTCTCTCTCTCACTCTCTCTTTAAAAAAAAAAAGAAAATATTGTTTAAAATTATTTTTGAAATAGCATTCATCAGAGGATACACTATACCTGAAATAACTCAGAATGAGCAATACCAAGATCTACCTATCTATCTATCTACCTACCTACCTACTGGTCTATCTATTTTAGTTTTGAGGATGGAACCTAGGCATGTTAAGCACAAGCTCTACCACTGAGCAATACTCCTAGACCCTTTAAAGAAAAAAAGCTGGGGGACATCCAGGCAAAAAGATAGTCACCTATACAAGGAAAAACAAAAAGACTGTCATTTGGATTTGTGCAGCAGTGCTTTATGCCAGAGGTAGATGAGGTAATGTATTTAAGAAACTCAAGAAAACAAACTCTACTAGTGATTTTATATCCAACCAACTGATTTTCAAGTATAGTGTCTACAAACTTTTCAACATTTAAAAATATTGCTCTCATTAGCCCTTTCTGAAGAGTTTATCAGAGAATAAGTTTTAGATATCTGAAATGACTAGAGAGGGGAAGAGTGGGTAGAGGCAGAGGTGACGTAGCTATTTTTCCACTGAGTGCATAAATCTGACACTAAAGATTACAAATTTGGTTGATAATCTGAATTGTTGGACCAGCTCTGATCTGCCCACTTCTGGAATTTATGTCATGTAAAGAAAAATAAAACCCACTTTGCTTTTTAAAAAATTATACTGTAGAAGAGTATTTAAGGACATAGAAAACTTTATGATATAATAAGTAGGCTGAAGGAAATCTGGACCCCCTCCTACTGTCTCCCCACACTATAAGGAAAAGCCTGGGTAAGAATTTTAGCTGTCTTGCTCCAGTACTAAATCCCAGTCTCCTAAATATTGGCTGGCAGCACAAAGTTTGTGGATGTAAATAACCAGGTTTCAGGGTTTTAAAGATACCTTTTTAAAAAATTTTTTTTTTGTAGTTGGACACAATAACTTTATTTATTTATTTAATGTGGTGCTGAGGATTGAACCCGGGGCCTTGCACGTGTGAGGCGAGTGCTCTACCGCTGAGCCACAACTCCAGCCCCTTAAAGATATCTTAATAAAAATCCTACCAAAAAAATAGTGAAAAGGGGAAATTATAAAACAGAATGGTCTCATTTTCTAAGGAGAACCAGTTTAACTATAAACACCAAAATTTCAACAGCAGTTTTCTCTACATAATAGGGTGATTTAAATTTTAGGGGGAGGATATGTTTTTGTATTTTTCTTGTCATCCTGACACAGGAATGAAACCATGCCATAATAAAATTTCTCTGGTATTGAGGTCCAAACTGGATTAGAAAATATGGAATTTTAGCTGGGCATAGTGGTGCCTGCTGTTATCTTAGCTACTTGGGAGGCTGAGACAGGTAGATTTCAAGTTCAAGGCCAGCCTGAACCACTTATTGAGATCTGTCTCAAAAAAAAAAAAAAAAGTCGTTGAGGGTGGGGTAGGGTGGTGACTGGAGTAATGTAGCTCAGTGATTGAGGGGTTGAGCCTGGGTTCAAAAAGACAAAAGGAAGTATGGACTTTTATGTTGAAGCAAGTTGTGTTACTGCAACTCTTTAACATGCTCAGCAAAATCTACAGAATTAGAACTATGGTTAAAAAGACATAATTTTATTTTTTACTTTTGCAACATTCTCATATTAAGGAAACACTGACTATGGACTTGTCTTTTCTGGACAGTCCAGTATTAAGATCAGCAGTAGTTTGAAGGTTAAAAAAATAAATTAATTAATTAATCTCAGGTAGGTAACTGAATCCAAATTTGGATTTAAAATGGAAATCAAACGCCCTATAAAAATTCTAAAAAAAAACCCTTTTTCAGTGTTAGAAATTAAAAACTATGTTTTAAATTATATTTTAAGTAATAAGTAGAAAACATACCAATGAACCAAATCCTAGGGTCCAAAAATGTTCATTTCGGACTTCTAAAACTCCATCCAAGGTAGAAACCTAATCAAAACCAGAAATAGGTTATGAGAGTTATTTGCATTTGACATATGAAACACATTTCAGTCGCATTATGGACTTAATCTAAACGTAGAATATTATGGTGAGCCCTGTACAAGGACACTCAGCCAAGAGAAGTACTAAGCCACCCAAGACACCTTTTTTTTTTGCACCAGGAATTGAACCCAGGGACACTTAACCACTGAGCCATATTCCAAGCTCTTTTTTATATTTGATTTTGAGAATATAATTTTCTCACTAAGTTGCTTAGGGTCTCACTAAGTTATTGAGGCTGGCTTTGAACTCACAACCTTCTGCCTTAGCCTCCCAAATTACTGGGATCACAGGCATGCACCAGTGTACCCAGTAAGACACCATTCTTTTTTTTTTTTTTTGTACAGGGGATTGAACTCAGTGGCACTTAACCACTGAGCCACATCCCCAGCCCAATTTTGTATTTTATTTAAAGACAGGGTTTCATTGAGTTGCTTAGCATCTCACTTTTGCTGAGGCTGGCTTTGAACTTAGGATCTTCTACCTCAGCCTCCGGAGCCGCTGAGATTACAGGTGTACATCACCTTGCTCAGCAAGATAAACATTCTTGATTGCACAGTACTGCCCCAATCCTTTTAGAGTCAAATCATGACTACTAAGTCTTACTCTCCCCTCACTTCAATAGCATATGCTTCTTTTAATTATACCTACATGGCACATATTTATATTTAGCATTTGTGTATTAGTTTTTTTGATCTTCTCAATCATTCCTTCCCTGGATTTCCTTATAACAAATCTCCATACAACACAAAATATTATTTGAATGTGGGCTGTCAGGAAATTCCTGGGCCAGACATAAAATGTGTGGCTTATAAGAACAGTAGCACAGAAGGCATATCCAGTGTCATTTTCATAAGCTGAGACGTGGACAGCTATGTTGGAAGAAGTGACCTTTGTGATACCAACAACCAGGAGTTTAGAATAGTACCAAGATAATTCACCTATCTTATATCTTGATTAGGAAGCAGGCTGAAATTTATAACAATAGAAAGTCTAAAGTCTAGATCAAGATGTCAGGTGAAGTAATTAACAGGTAAAAGTAGACTCTGTGTTTACAAAATTCTAGATTTGAATAAAGAGTCAGAAAAAAATCACAGCATTTATAAAATCAATCAGGTGGTCTTTAGATCATTACCTTCCACACTTATTTAAAGTGAATTTGTCTTCCATACTGAGCAACTCCTCAATTTATTTTCCATTTTTGCTACTATGTTCTGACTCTGTTACTACAAAGAACACAAACTCTCCTAGAATAAGATTTTAGGTAGGTTTCAACAAAATATTGTATGTACCCACCCTTTCAATTCCTAACATAAATTAAAATGATTTTATTTATCATTCCATCTTACCTCTCTGATAAGTTTATCCAACTGACCAATAACATGGGGTGGTGTTGTCTGGGGGAAAAAATAAAATATGAATAGCCTATGGAGAAAAATAATTTTGTAACCATGGTCCTGAAATTCCTCCATATGGATTTTTTAAAACTTAATTAGCATATCCATCACCTCATAGCTTTTTTTAAAATCTTATTTTGATATCTTTATTTATTTTTATGTGGTGCTGAGGATGGAACCCAGTGCCTCACACATGCTAGGCAAGCGCTCTGCCACTGAGCTACAGCTCCAGCCCCCTCCATATGAATTTTAAACCCATCTTTGGTTTTCACATGTGCCCTATTGTGATTCAGAAAAGTAAGGTTTCAACTGGCTCACTAATAGAACAACATCACTAATTGGTCCATACTCATAATGTTATCTCACAAAGAAGAGAAGCTGCTATTGATAGAACCAAATAAAGCTCAAAGAGCCAACCAAGCAATAAAAAGTCTTCAAGAAATGGTTTGAAATGTAACATTTTGTAAGTGCATAGGACTCTGCAATTCTTCTTCATCTTTTTTTTTTTTTTTTTGGCACTGGGAATTGAACCCAAGGGCATTTTATCACTGATCTATACTCCCTGCCCTTTTTATTTATTTTGAGACAGTGTCTCACTAAGTTGCTTAGGGCCTTGTTAAGTTGCTGAAGCTGGCCTTGGACCTGAAATCTTTCTGCATGAGTCACTGATATTATAGGTGTGCACCAGCATGCCTGGCTTAACGTTAAAATTGTGATCCTCTTGCCTAGGCTCTCAATTTGCTAGGGTACAGCTGTGTCTGGCTTATCCCATTGTTATTATTGCTTTTAGAGATGGAGTGACTGCCCATAAATTTAAAAAGAAAAAGACATGAAGGTAAGAGACAGAAAGAAGAGCATTGCTTACATACCCATCTAGCCCTAAGAAACTGTTCACCTTTCTAGTCTGGGTCTTGTTTAATGTGTTTCTACTGTTTTAAAAAGTAGAAATTCATCATATTTACATCTGAAATTTACATCTCAATGATCCAAAGACAGAAAATAAGAAAAAAAATCATAACCAGATTATATAACAGCTAAGACCTATTTACTGAGGGAAAAAAGATAACCCCCCATTTTTTTTTTTTTTTAAGGAAACATTACCCAAGGCAAATAATTTTAAGTTCATGATTGCATGTCACAGAAGCACAGAAGGATTTGTGCCTACTTTAAGGACTGACGAAATCCCACCTGGTTCTTACTATATGGATTTCAGAAAGTATTGTTTGACTTAATTGCTAACAGAGCCCTCTAGTTAATAAAATTTTCAGAATAAATCATTTTTTTCCTATAAAATTTTTAGCAACCAGAGTTTCAATTGGTAGAACATGGGTAAACATGAATATTCCAAGAACCTTACCTGGAGTAGCACTTTTCCACTGTACACGCTCATGGGATACATGGTACCAAATGTCATCAGGGCAATGGCTATTGCAGACGCGGTGTCCACAGCAAAGTAATTACTAAAAAGAAAAAAATTCCAAATCTTAAATGTATGCTTCACTAGGCATCTCACAATTCAATCTACTGACCACTAATTATTTAAGGCAAGAGAATCTTTCTTATCACAAATGGCCCCTACTGACAGAGGAGCACCTTAAAGGAGAAAAAAAGTTTCTATCTAGAGTCCCTTCCTATTAAATTACAGCAGAAAAACAACTAATAATTGTGCTAATTCATGAGGAGAAAGGATAAGAAAAAATGTAAGCATTTACTCACTACATATATTTCAATCTACTTGTCAACTAGAAAGATTTCAAATATATTTGCTTGAGATACACAAATAAAAAACTTCAACTAGTAATTTCTGATATAGAGAGACTAATGGAGTCCTCAATGATTCTATCAATTTTCCTGTAAACAATAATTGTTTTGATAAAAAATTTTCAAAATTCTCGGGAGTCTGTTATAGCAATGCTGTGGATGAAGAACAACATCTCATGAACAATTCAGACTTTGTTGAAATTCTATTAAGAAGACAAAATGAAATGTCAATGGTTACAAGATGGTCTTGTCCTTTTAACTTTTTGCTATATGCTGGGGCTAGAAACACAAATAAGGCATCTCCACCTTAGAAAGAGCAGGAATACACATATGAAGAACATGAAGTACTTTGTGTATTAAAATAAAAGTTTCTACATGGTGTCATGGATGTTCAAAGGAGTGAATGATGCAGCTATTGGGGTGGGGATGATCCAGAAAGTCTAATTATGAAAAAAGAGGTAAGTCTTCAAAGACAAGTAAAATAAGCAGAGGGGAAATATTCAAAACAGTAAAAGCAGCATATGAAAGAGCATTAAAACCCTGATACAGCAATGAAACCACGAACAATGTGGTATAGGCAGATGGGTGGCTACATAGGTTGGCAAGAGCTTGCCTGTATAGGACTCTATGCTAACAACTTTAAAATTAAAAAAAACAAAACTTGTGGTGGTGCTGGGGATGGAATCATACTCTACTACTGAGCTACATCCCCAGCCCTTTTTCCTCTTTTTATTTTGAGACAGGGTTCTGCTAAGTTACCCAGGCTGGCTTTTATGATCCTTGTACCTCATTCCCAGAGTTGTTGGGTTTATAGGTGTGTAGCACTGTTCCTGGTAACAACTTTGAATTTTTACCAATATACAAAGGAGAGGGGTTTAAGGTGGAAAAACACTATGTCTAGATTAGCAATTCTGAATAATCATGTTAGTAGTAAAATAGACAATAACAGGTGATGGATGAGAAATAAAATTAGAAGTCTAGAAGACTGTAACTTCATATCATGTACAATCACAAAAATGCAAAGTTATACTTCATGTATGTGTGATTTGTCAAAATACATTCTATTGTTATGTATAACTCAAAAGAATAAATTAAAAAAAAGAAGTTTAGAAGAGTATTCTAATTAAGTCAAGGTAATGATGACAAAGGCCTTAATTGGGTCAGGAATAGGAAAGAGAAGACAGTAAAAAAAAAAAAGACAAGACTAAATAGGACTTGGATACCAATTAGAATTTATTTGTCGAGGAGGGAAAGAGGAGAAGGGAAGAAAAGCAGGTATTTGAGAATGCACTGGACTGGGTGAAGTGGTACATGCCTGTAATCCCAGCGACTTGGGAGGCTAAGGCAGGAGGATCACAAGTTTGAGGTTAGCCTTGGCAATTAAGCAAGACTCCATCTCACAAAAAAAATATAAAAAAATAAAAAGGGCAGAAGATGTGCTGAGAATTCACCTAGTACCACAAAAAAACATAAAACAAACAAACAAACAAAATACCATGTGATCCAGCAATTCCATTTCTGAGTATATACTCCCAAGAATTCCTACGTTCACAGTGGCATCATTTATAGTAGCCAAAAAAAAAAAAAAATAGAAATAATCCAAATGTCCACTGATGGATGAATGAGGAAAACAAAATGTGGTATGCACATCAAAATGTTATTCAGACTTAAAAGGGAGGAAATTCTGACACATGCTACAACATGAATGAACCTTAAAAACATTATACTGTGTAAAATATGCCATTTACAAAAAGACAAATACTGAATGATTCTATCTATATGAGGGAGGTAGTTAAGAGTAATCAAAATCAGAAACACAAACTAGAATGGTGGTTGACAGGAACAGTGGGTAAGGGAAGACTGAAGTTATTGTTTAATTGTCACACTTTCAGTGAAGGGATGATGAAAAAGTTCTGGAGATGGACAGTTGTGATGACTGCAGAAAAATATGAATGTACTTAAAGCCACTGAACCATATATGTCAAAATGGTTATGCATTATTTGTGCAACTTTTAACACAATTTTTAAAAAAGAATCTATTGGAATAGAAGATAATAGTATTCACTGAGGGTGGGAAATAAAAGAAAAAGCACCTTCAGCAACAAGGGAAACCAGTGAGGCAGACAAGAACAGAAGCCAGGAAGATAAGCCTACTGGAATTCAATAGAGATCTAGGCTAGAAATAAAGATCTTGAAATCCTTGGAGGTAATAAAAAAAAAAACAAGTAATTGTAGATCAGCTTTAGGAGAGCATAAAAGCAAGAATAATACAATTCAGGAAAGATTCTAATAAACACCATTATTTAAAGGGCAAGAGAATCAAAGGATTATGTCAAAATGTTAAAAGAGCCATAATATCTATTTCCTAAAAGGCTTTAAAAAAAATTGCTTCACACCTACTTCCTCTTCTCCCTCTCTCAGCAATAGCAGCTGTAGCTTAGATCTCTCTTACTGTCCTCTTCTGTTCACTCATCAGGTCAGCAGTGGGGAATTTAAATCGTTTTCCAGTCTGCATTATAGATTGTTGTGAGAAATACTTATCGAGCCCAATTCCCTTAATTTTTTAGATGAAGACACTTGATGACAAGACTTGACCATAGTTACATAGGTCATTAGCAAAAATGTTAGAAACCTGACTCCAATCCATCCTGCAGATGCTCTTAAATGCCAGGCCCTAGGAATCTAAACACTTGATGGCAATAAAAAAAAAATACTTACTTAATTTCAATTAGCATGTATGTAATACAAAGAGCAAATGCTCCAGCAAGATCAATCAAAACAAATGGATTCATTCGGGGAAGGAAGATACTGCTAAGTCCCGGAATAATTCCACACAAGCTATGAAAAAACAGAGTATTCATTAGCAAAATTCATATAATACTGATGAAAACCTTGCCAAAAATAACTTGTATTTTATGATATTTTTCAGGGAGGGTACTGGGGTGCTTCAGCACTGAACTACATTACATCTCCAGTCCTTTTTATTTTATTGAGACACAGTCTTACAAGGTTGCTGAGGGTTCTGCTAAGTTGCTAAGGCTGGCCTCAAACTTGTGATCCTCTGGCCTCACCCTCCTTAGTCCCTGGGATTATAGGCATACACCGCCGTACCCAGATTGATAACTTATATTTTAGTTCAAATAATATACCTTGTAAAGAAAAAACAAAGGATTTGGAAACAAAACTTCTATATAATCAAATAAAAAGAAAAGGGAGAGGACTGGGGATGTGGCTCAAGTGGTAGCGCGCTCGCCTGGCATGCGTGCGGTCCAGGTTCGATCCTCAGTACCACATACAAAGAAAGATGTTGTGTCTGCCGAGAACTGGAGAATAAACGTTAAAAAATTCTCTCTTTCCCTCTCTCTCTCTCACTCTCTTTAAAAAAAAAAAGGGAGAATAAGAATCAAATATGTGAGATTCATGCTCTAATCTCAGCAATAAATAATGTTAAGTCCCCATGATAGATGTATTTCTTTTTTTAAATATATATATATATTTATTTTAGTTTTAGGTGGACACAATATCTTTATTTTACATTTATGACGTGCTGAGGATGGAACCTAGTGCCTCACACATGCTAGGCAAGCACTCTACCACTGAGCCACAACCCCAGCCCTGATAGATGCATTTCTTGTGAATATTTAAAAAATTATGGATATCATGTAACTTGATGCCATCTTACCTTCGACTAAGATCTGCAACATGCTCTTGAAGCCAACTTGTACTAGCAGCTTTAAGAAGAAAATACTTGTTATGTATATAGAAGAATAAACTGCTTCTAGAAATACTTTTTATCCTTTTAAAAGTAAGTTCAACAGTGACTGCATAAAATTACAAAAGAAAATCCTACTCCCCAAATTTATGGGAAACTGCATTTCCACCTAGTGAAAATAAAACGTAGATAACCTTTTTAGAAGTAAATTTGGTTATATGTATCAAAGCCTTTTAAAAAAATTATGAACTAGGGGTGTAGCTTAGTGATAGAGTGCTTGCGAGGCATGCACAAGGCCCTGAGTTCAATTTCCAGAACTGTTAAAAAAATTTTTATTTTTAATCTAGTTCAACTTCTTTGGGAATTTATCTTAAAGGAAAAAATAGAAATGCAGTCCAGGAATATGATATAGAAAGGTGATTACAGAATTATTTATAAAATGAAAATTAGGAGACAGAATACTATGCAAGTACTCAAAAATCACTTGTTTAAAGAGTATTTAATGAGATTCTGAAGACATACTGTTCTGACATAGTTAAGCAATATTAAGATATAATTTTAATAAAAATGTCAGGCATAAAATTGCAAATGAGTACAATTCTAAGTATGCAAAATAATTGTATGTGTACAAAGAGAAAAAGTGAAAGGAATAAAATAGAAATGTTAACAGATGTTATCTCTGAATATGAAATTGTGTACAATACAGTTTCATAACACGAGGCTGTTTAAACGTGAATGGGCATTTTCAGAAAACTTTATTTTTTTATTATTATTTTTTTTAGTTGCCAATGGGCTTAGTTTATTTATATGTGGTACTCAGAATCAAACTCAATGCCTTACACATGCTAGGCAAGTGCTCTACCACAACCACAACCCTTGCTGCTTTCTTTTCTTGATTGTCCCATTGTTTAAGTTAGAAAGACCTAAAAAAACTCTTGTCTATATCTACTTCTGTATGCTTCAAAGTGTGGGTTTTTTTTTTTTTTGGTCCCCAGTCCTTCCTTTTGAGACAGGGTCTCACTAAGTTGCATAGGGCCTCAAAAAGTTGCTGAGGCTGGCCTGGAACTTGTGATCCTCCTGTCTCAGCCTCCTGAGACCCTAGCATACAGGTGTATGCCAAAGCACTTTTTTTCCCCCTTGTGCTGGGCATGGAATCCTGGATTTTGTGCATGTTAGACAAGTGCTCTACCACTGAGCTATACCTCCAGACCCACATATCTGCTTTTGTTTTGACCTCACTACATCACTTAGTGTTTAACACTACAGGTTAGTAGAATTTCAAAACTTGCAAAATTTTGAAAATTGCCAATAATTAGCACTACTAAAGTGAAAAACCAATCTGAACTTGTAAAAACTCAAAATAAAAGAATATTTCAAAAGAAATAATTCTGTGCTACTTTGAAATATATGTCAAAGGAAAATTCTTAGAATTTATTTGTTTATAAAATACAATTGTTTCCAATTAGCAAACCAACTATTCTACGTATAATGCTTCCTAAAAAGGCATACAATAGATTTTTCTTAGGTAGATTACACATCTAAAATCTCATAGTATTTGGTAAATGTAATTTTTCATCACATAACATTTAATACATACATCAGTTCTATTTTTAAATAATACTTTATTTTAAAGCTTAAGTTACTGAGGTTTTGTGTTTTTTTAAAATTTTTTTTTAGTTGTTGACGGACCTTTATTTTATTCATTTATTTATATGCGGTGCTGAGAATCAAACCCAGTGCCTCACACATGTGAGGTGAGTGCTCTACCACTGATTCACAACCCCAGCCCAAGATTTTATTTGATGATTGTCTGCTTGAAGAAGACTTGAGAACCTTTGAGGTAATTCTCCCTTCTCTTCAGAATATACTTTCTTGTTGATTTAAGAGTTAATTAAACAAAGAAAAGACCTGTTTTAATGAGAAATTATTTGGATTTTTAAAATTAATAGTAAATAAAAAACATACCTTCAGAGACATAAGCAAATGGTTTATTCCGAATAGAAAGCATGGTGAACAGGTTGAAAGAAAGAGCCACAAAAGTACCAACTAATAATCTTCCCCTAAAAAGAACAACAGTAACATATTCACCTTCATTTTTCTTGGAAATATTAATTTACAATTTCAGAGTGTAGAAAGACTAAGAGAAGGCAAGATAAGAATAGTCGGCTTCAGTGGTTTGGTATTTCAGGAGCCAAAATCTGAATATGTCTACATAATCCATGTCCTGTTTACTATCTTACCTAGGACATAAAATGAATCAGAAATAACAATATCTTTTTAAAATATTTTTGGTACTGGGGATTGAATTCAGAGGCACTCGACCACTGAGCCACCATCACCAGCCCTATTTTGTATTTTATTTGGAGACAGGGTTTCACTGAGTTGCTTAGCACCTCACTGTTACTGAGGCTGGCTTTGAACTCTCAATCCTTCTGCCTCAGCCTCCCAAGCTGCTGGAATTACAGGCATATGCTACCATGCCTGGCCCAACAATATATTTTTAAAATATAATTAATATTTATATAAGTATTATAATTTATATAAATACTAATGGTATTTGGTTTACAATCAATGGACAAATCAAACATTTGAATTAATTGATCAGAATAAGTAAGGCCCATACAGTTGGCAACTATATAGGTGATTAAGTACAATATTTAGGTGGTCATATTTGAACTTACAGAAGACTAGAGAGAACCGGCTTAGTGTGCTGACTTGAATCTGTAAATAATAAAGGATTTGAAACCAAACAGACACACCTTCCTGCAGTATTAAAACATCTAGGGCTTGGGAAGAACAGGTCGAGGGTGAAAAGTAAGAGTCGTGGGATTTTGTTTCTGAAATGCCTGTGAAAATGTATATTGTCACACTCTAAACTACTGATACTAGATAATGTAACTGTTATTGAATAATACATCATTGTAATGAAACTTAATAGTAGATTATATATATTATGTAAACAATGAAGTCTCACGTGTGGATCTCGGGCTGCTCCAAAAAGCGTTCTGCACTAAAAGAAAGAAAAATTTATTAAATAAGTCCTATAAATTATAAAACTAAAAAGCTATATTGAATATATAAGTAGTACACCTGAAAGTTCACAGAATCTTTTATTATTATTATTATTAGTAGTAGTAACAGTAATAGTAATAGTACCTAGGGGCATTTAACCACATCTCCAACCCTTTTTTAAAAACATTTTTTAAAATTTTGAATCATGTTTGTCTTGCTAAATTACTGAGGCTGGCTTTGAACTTGCAATCCTCCTGCCTCAGCCTCCCAAGTGACTGGGGATTACAGGTGTGCACCACTGTGCCCAGCTTCACAATCTTTTAACATTATCATCAACTATTGTGAGCAGTGTTGTAGCACAGAGACTCACAAATTATCCTTAATATGTAATATCAATTTTTCTCTACCAATCCTGATTCAATAGGTTTGTAATAAACATCAAGAAATGTTTGACTAAGGTGGGGTTGTGGTTCAGTGGTAGAATGCTTGCCTAGCATGCATGAGACACTAAGTTTCGTCCCAGCACCACATTAAAAAAAAAAAAGAAAAGAAAAATAAAGAAGGAAATGTTTGACTAGCTGAGCATGGTGTTGCTTGGAAGACTGAGGCAGAAAGAATGTGAATTCAAAGCCACCCTCAGCAAAAGCAAGAAATTAAGCAACTGACCCTATCTCTAAAAAAAAAAAAAAAAATAGGGCTGGGGATGTGGCTCAGTGGTCAAGTGCCCCTGAGCTCAATCCCAAGTATCCCTTCCCCTCAAAAAAGAAATGTTTGACTGAATCTCTTTCTTTTATTAATTCTCGCCATGACTGAATTTAGTAACAATAAAGAAATACAGAAACTAAGTGAAAAACAATGGAAAAAAGTTTCAAAGAAGAAGAAATTGTAGTATTAAGCACTTCTAGCACTTCTTGTCTTAATTTGCATATCCTTCAAACTAAATGTGTCTCAATGGATTCTTTCATGTTCTCAAAGGTGACATACGTAGGATTTAGAATAACATACAGCCAGCCCAGTGGTACATGCTTCAGGAGGCTGAAGCAGGAGGATTGCAAGTTCAAGGTCAGCCTCAACAACTTTGTGAGACCCTGTCTTAAAAATAAAAAACTAGGAGTACAGTTTGGTGGTAGAGTGCCCCTGGGTTCAATCCTCAGTACCAGGAAAAAAAGTAACATATTATACAAATGTACCTTTCTTTTAAAATAAAGAGGGCTCCCAACTGTGCCAAGACTGTGGAGGCAAATACAGCAAGGACTTCTAATCTTTCAAACCTGAAATCAGAAAATTAAAATTTTCAACTCACAAACCAGTTTATGTAGAACACATTTATACTAATTTATATACTCATTAATATACATATGTGCATCCTCTTATTAGTCAGACAATGTTAGAACAGAAGGATAACAAACAATGAAAATTACATATAAAAATTTAAAATACAACATATATTATCAGGACCCACTTATAGCCTTTATTTTTCTAGAAATAACCATTATTATAATAATAGCCAACACTCAATTGACCTATCTTATGTTAGACTTTTTCAGTGTCTAACCTATTTCTTCACCTAAACTTATAAGTAATTATGAGAATTACTCTACCCCCTTCTTCTTTTCCTGAAAATATAGGAGCTCGGAACTTAAAAGGGAAAGTAACTGTTCAAAGTTATATGCTTAGCAAGTGGAATAATAAGATTTTCAAACTCAGGCACTCTGCTTTCAGAGTTCATGATTTTAAGTATCTCTCATTTTTATACATAATTATAATCCACTATAAATATCATTAATAATATCCCTGGACTATAAATTGGAGGTCATCTTAATTTTATTCATCTTAATTTATTCATCTTAATTCTTCCACAACACAAAGATTAATCATTCCCAATAATTGTGGTAAGTAAATGCTTAAGATTTCTTAAGGAAATAATCATGGAGGTTCATAAAAGAATAATATAATTAAGGATCTTCATTATGTTGCTGTCTGTAAGGGGAAAATGTCGGAATCAACAATATAACAGTATACATTATTAAAAACATAACAGAGCTTGGGACTGGGGTTATAGCTCAGCATTAGAGTGCTTGCCTTGCACACGTGAGGCACTGGGTTCAATCCTCAGCACCACATAAAAAAATAAATAAAGTTATCGCATCCATTTTTAAAAAAATATTTTTTAGTTGTACATGGACGTAGCATCTTTATTTTGTTGATTTGCTTTTACATGGTCCTGGGGATCTAACTCAGTGCCTCATACGTGGGAGGCCAGTGCTTTATCGCTGAGACACACCCCAGCCACCTATTGCATCCATCTTTTAAAAAAATCTTAAAAAATAAAAAGGGCATGGCACAGTGGCACATGCCTGTAATCACAGTGACTCATGAAGCTGAGGCAGGAGAAACCCAAGTTCGAGGCCAGCCTCAGCAACTGAGTGAGACCCTCAGCATCTTGGTGAGACCCTGTCTCAAAATAAAGAATGAAAAGGGCTTGGGATGTAGCTCAGTGATAAGGCTCCCCTAGGTTCAATGTCCACTGCCTGAAGAAAAAACAAAACAAAACAAAACCCAGAAGTGTGTTTATTGACATGGTCAGGTAAAAGTGAAAAAAGTAGGTTATAAAAAAATACAAAAATAAGTAAATGCAACAATGTTATGTGCAAAGATTGATAAGCTGATGTTAAAATGCATATCCTTCAAACTAAATGTGTCTCATTGGATTCTTTCCATGTTCTCAAAGGTGACATCACCATTTTAATATCAAGAGAGACACAATCTTGAAGAACAAAATTGCATGATGTATACTGCCACATATCAAGACCTACTTTAAAGTTATAGAATTAACATAGTGTGGGAAAGAGAATCCAGAAATAGACCCATACATATACAGTCAACTGATTTATAAAAAGAAGCACACAGAAGTAGAGTAAAGGTGTTTTCTTTTATTAAATAGTGATGCATCAATTGAATATCTATATAAAAACAAACATGCCTTGACCCCTGCCTCATAGCATACTCAAAAATCAACTCCAGTTAGACTATAAGCTTAAATATGACAGGTCAAACAATAAGACTTCTCTGGCTAGGGTTGTGGCTTAGTGGCAGAATGCTTGCCTAGCAATGTGTGAAGCACTGGGTTTGATTCTCAGCACTGCATATTAGTAAATAAAATGAAGGCGTACTGATAACTAAAAAAAAAAAAATTCTGAAAACAACAATAAGACTTCTCTACCTGATAGCAGAGCAGAGTATCTTTGACCTTGAGGAAGGTCAGGATTTCTGAACAGGTACATGAAATGTACTAACCACAAAGAAAAGAAAAAAACTGACAAATTGAACTCATCATTGAGATTTAAAAAATTACATTTATGATAAGAAACTATTATGAAAAAGAAGATATTTATATATAAAGTAGATTGACTCTTATAGTTCAATAAGAAAAAGGCAAAACAGTTAAAAGACTTTAGCTAACATTTCACAGAAGAAGAAATCTAAATGATTAATAGACATATTAAAACACACTCTATCATCAGGAAACAATTTAAAACCACAATGTAATACCATTGCACATGCCAAAGTGGCCTTAAACAAAATGACAACTGTTAGTGAAACACTTAAAACACAGCCAATGGGAGTGAAAATTGGTGAAACTATTCTGGAAAATTATCTTTTAATAATGAACATATGCAATCTTGACTAATTTGAAAGATACATACTCAACATAAAACGAGTACACAGGTTTACCAAAAGAAATGTCCAAGTATGTTTGTTTGTAATTTTATTTATAATAGCTGAAAGCTGAAAATCACCCTAATGCCTTTCAATAGTTAACCTGTCATACAGTAATACAATGAAATGTTAGAGCAATGAATAAGAATGAACTACTAGTATGTGAGATGCCATCTATATGATATTTAGCAATATGCAAAATTAATCTGTAATGACAAAAATCAGAAAATTGTATACTTTTGGCATACGAATGAAATTATGGCATTTTCTAGTAAATGGATGAAATTGGAGGCCATCATGTTAAGTGTAATAAGCCAATCCCAAAAAATCAAAGGCCAAATATTCTCTCTGATATGAGAATGCTGACTCACAATGGGGGTGAGAGTGGAGGTTCACCAGATTGGGGGTTGTGGAATGGGGGAAAGTGAGTGGGGATGGGAATGAGAATGACAGCAGAATGAATTGGACATAACTTTCCTATGTTCATAATATATTCAGGGTAACTCCACATCATGTACAACCACAAGAATAAGGAGTTATAATCCATGTATGTGTGATATGTCAAAATACATTCTACTGTCATGTACAACTAAAAAGAACAAATAAAATATGTTAAAAAAAGAAAAAATTTGCATAATTTTGACAGGGTCTGATTTCCAGAGAATTTGGGAGAACTTGCAATATTTTATATAATGATTTAGATAGAAGCTTTACAATTATATATTTTTTTTTAAATTCATCAAAGTGCACAAGGATATGAGGAAACAAGATAGGGTCCCTATTTCTATGAAACTTATAATTTAAAGAAGGAGAAAGAAAAACAAATAATTTATTTGATAAATTCTGTACTGGGAATTATAGTAGTCTGAGTGACACAAGGCTAACTAGGTGGCTATTTGAGATTGTGTCATCCAATCACTCATGATAATTTGTGATCTGAATTATAAGATGGAAACAGTTCTCTGTGCTTTGGCGCATCCCTGTAATCTCAGCAACTCAAGAAGCTGAGGTAGGAGGATCACAAATTCAATCCTGTATCAAAATCAAAATGAAAATGGGCTTGGGATGGATTCAAACTGAAAAGCTTCTTCTCAGCAAAAGAAACAATCAGTAACGTGAATAGAAAGCCTACAGAATAGGAGTAAATTTTTATCACATGCACATCAGATGGAGCACAAATCTCCAAGATTCATAAAGAAATCAAAAAACTTAACACCAAAAAACCAAATAACCCAATCAATAAATGGGCTAAGGAACTGAACGGACACTTCTCAGAAGATATACAATCAATCAACAAATATATGAAAAAATGCTCAACATCTCCAGCAATTACAGAAGTGCAAATCAAAACTACTCTAAGATTTCATCTCACTCCAGTCAGAATGACAGTTATTAAGAATATAAGGGTGTCAACCTAGTTTATATACAGAGATATGAAATATTGTGGTATATATGTGTAATAAGAATTGTAATGGAAAAAAAGTACATGTATAAAGACATGAATTGGCGTAAACAAACTTTATATACAAAGATATGAAAAACTGTGCTCTATATGTGTAATAAGAATAATGCATTCCACTGTCATGTATTTAAAAAAAATAAAATCAATTAAAAAAAAAAGAATGTAAGCAACAATAAGTGTTGGCAAGGATGTGGGGGAAAAGGCACACTCTTACATTGCTTGTGGGACTGCAAACTGGTGTAACCAATCTGGAAAGCAGTATGGAGTTTCCACAGAAAATTTGGAATGGAACCACCATTTGACCCAGCTATCCCACTCCTCAATTTACACCCAAAGAACTTAAAAACAGCATAACAGTGATGCATCCACATCAATGTTTATAGCAGCACAATTTAAAATAGCTAAATTGTGGAAGCAACCTAGATACCCCTCAATAGATGAATGGATAAGGAAACTGTAATACACACACACACACATGCACACACACACACACACACACACAC